CTGGTGTGTCGTCATTGCAATTAAAGTTGTTAACAGCTGTAGTGTTTGTTAGCAAAAATTAATCCCGGCATGAGGGTGGGGGCAAGAGAGCACACGCAGTCGATGTGACGCCGACGCCTGGCCGGACGTGCTTTGACCTCTAGACGCCTGGTCCAGGGTGCGGTTTTTTGGATACCCCGTGTAATCAATGACTACCTGTAGAACACGAAGTGCTGCCTCCTGAGGAGACGGGGTCTGGCTTACGAAGTCCTTTCACATCAGAACACAAGCAAGCGGCGGAGGTAGAGTGGTTGCCAAATATTGCAGGCGTCCTCTAGAAGTCGGGGTCCACATCATATAAGAGGTTGCCGGCGTTGGCCCGCTGTAAGGCCCGAATCAGCAGCCCAGAACGTTGGCGTTGTAGAAGGATAGCTTGACCGATGCGTCTCCGTTCTCTGCCCTCCTTTGCTCGTTGCTGGGCTTCGCGGTTCTTCCGTCGAAGCCACCTTTAATAACGCATTAAAATGAACAGAAGTGGCCATTGGGAAGTTCCCTTAAAGTTGCTATTAAGCAGACTTTTGCCCGTCAGCCATCGGTTTCTCAAACCAATAACAAACTTTCGTGATATGAAAGTATCTAGTGAAGAGAACAGGTATTTTCAAAAAAAAAGTTTTACCATCACATTTTAAACCGGAACTGCGTGAGTACATGCCTGACAAGGCAATTTTTCATGTCAAATTGAGATGCCTTTACGAAAGATTAATTATAAAAAATCTCTATATGTATTATGCTAGCAGGATCTCAGACATCCCTCTTCGATGTGGCAAAATTTTGTCTGGTGTGGCATGTTCGACGCTGGATCATTAGATTATTAATGATTACGGTCTACTTCGGCCTCTTCAGAATTCTAACTTTGCACTGACTATTTTATTCTAGAGACTCATTCGACTGAGGCCAAAGTTTCTACAGGTATTCTATTTTATCATAGGTCCGCTAAGCTCTGCTATTTTCCAATTCCCTCAGATATCCTTTTCAAAGTTATCATCCCACTAAGTCTACTTAAAGTGAAACTGACCTCAAGAAAGAGTATTTCATGCAATTAGGGGAATTTCACATATCCTCACCAGTTACTTTGCGCAGTAGGAACACATGGTAGGTTGTGAGTCGATCACCTCATTACCGATAGAACTAATTAATATTTGGGCTGTCCGATTCAAGTTTTAAGTTGATTACCAGGGGGGGACCCAAGAATGGGGTGAAAAGATCCAAAGATCAAACGATCCAAATTGCGAACTGTGGATCCTTCTTCGTTGTCAAGACGTCAAGCAACGACAGTAAACTAGTGAACTGAGCAGTGGAAGACATGCCCAACTCTGCCGTTTTGCTTGGAGGACTTGGGATTTAACGCCTCAATCGCGTAAAGCCGTCCGTCCCCGATAGGCACGTGCCGCTAAGACGGCTCCTCAAGAGCCGGAACATAGACACATGCAGCCTATAAAACAGTCAATCACCCGATCGTACAAAATCCACAATCGTCCGATTAAAGTGTAGTAGCTCAAACTCAGTACTGCTGCGCTGATTAATCCTGTCTTCGTTTGTCAAGTCCTTGGTACTCGCGCGTGATCAGACAACTCCCCCGCGCGCTGTTAATAACTGCTAGATGCCCGAGATTTTCTGTCCGCCCTACGGTCCCCCGACGACGCTACTTGCGACGCACTTAAGCTCAAAGCCAATCAACGCGCTCCGTTTCACCCGACTGGCTGCATAGGCCACTAAGGACATTCTGTAGTCAGGGCTTCGCAGCAGCGGACACATTTTCACGGACTCAGCGGGACTGAGGGCACAGCGGTTACCATCGTTTGACAGCGCCTGTTGTAAAGCTCCTTTCGCGCAGTAAAGCTCTTCCTACCAACTCTGTCTTACCGGAATTGTGATTTGGAGAACCTTCTCTCGTCGACACTGCTACTTGCAACAAACTCACGAAGCTGACGCTGACTAACTGTTGCATGCGCTTAACTATTCACATCCAGGTTACCCTGGCGGGGCGGACCAGAGCGTGAACCCAGAAGAGGCCGCACGTCAGGAACTCTGGCGATCATACAAAGGAAGACCAGAGAAACATTTTGTCGCAAACTACTCAAGTCAATCTGTTATAAGCCTACCGAGGAGATCTTTCCCTCAAATCCGGATGAATTTATCTGGAATCTTTCTCACATCAAACTCAACAAGTTGCAACCAGAGGCTG